TTTACGAGCGCGCGCGACGCACAAAACATTCGAAGCACCGCGAATATTTCGATGCGCCGAGTTTCTAAATATCGGCTCCAACATTTCGGAATTTTCTACGTCTTCCGCGATCCAGTTTCCTGACGAAATGCGAAATACCCGCGTTGCTCGATTCACAAGCGATTTTTGTTTTTCAATGATTTACATCCATAAGAAAAACGATTGCGCTGCTAAAGACTCGAATGTGTTAATTTATATCGTTACGGGGAGACGTGGAAAATATATGCTGGAGGTAACCGAAGAAATTAATTGTCTAATTTATATCAAAATACTATGAAATAAGAAAGCATAAAGATCCATAAAGCACCGTATAGTCAAACACGTTAAAAGCTTCTACCATCAACCACCGTGGCCATTAACGCTCCAACACACTGAAAATGGTACATCAATCATACTTAAATAACAAAAAACTCAGAAAAGAAGCACTTCTCAGAAACAGTCAGTTTCCATAAAACTGTTGCAACATCCACAGAAACGAAAACAATGGAAAATACAGTTGTATCTAGACATCTCCATTTTCCAAAGAATTTCCCGCACACCCGTGGAATTCTGAAGATTCCGATAAGCCGAAAGCGTGAATGAATATTCGCGGCGAACCCGCCGCCCGTAAATATCGCTTATCTCGCCGTTTTTTGCCCCCCGTCGGCAGCAAAATCGATGCTAGATCGACACATAATCTCCATTCCGCGACGCAATTAGGGCCGGTGTTCACGGAACAACGTTATTCAGTACGTTACGCCGCACCGGCGGGGCTGCGAGGTGCACGCGTGTTCTTATCGCGTACTCGCGTGACGACATAACGCGACACGAGAATTTTACGTTTGTTCCAGAGCCCGCGGATGCGGAACTGCACCTGCGGAAATTGTTTTATGCAAATCGACCAACCCCACCCCACCGTGTGTTCTTGCCGATACGTTTCGACGCGAGCCTAGGAATATTCAGGGACAACTAACCTATAGGATTATCCGGCTGGTTCGCCCACGGGATCCGGAAATTCTTTAAATTGCCGGAAACGCACGGTCCGCCATTCCATTAAAACGATACGGAATTTCCTTTCCCTCTGTCCCTCTTCCTAGCCTTTTTTTTTGCTGTTTCTGCTCCCGAAACCGTTTCATTCGATTCCGTACAATTTGAATTTTTGTACCGGTTTGAGTTTTTCTTTTTAATGGGAAGAATGGCGGAGTGTTTTTTCGGCGAGATAAATATCGTTGATGAGATAGATCGGCTAATTGTTTTTGGAAATGGAAATGGTTGATTTGGTAATGTCGTTTAATGAAGTATAACTACTGTTTAGGAAATTATTCTACTGTTTAGGAAATTTGTTGTTAACACTAGAACTACCAAACGGATCAAAATGACCCATTCCAAATTTCTTCTTTTCGGGATTATTAAAGAAATAGCAGATGCTCCTCTGGGAGTTATTAAAGAAATTGATATGGCAATATGCAGATTGAATATTGAATCAATTAAAGTCTCAATAGATGCACTCTTGAAGTTTCTATAGAGAAGTTTCAAAAAGTGAATTTCAGTGCTTGGTAGTTCTAGTGTTAAAAGTGTTACGTGATGTCGATCCACTGCAAGTTGACTAATACAATGTTTTTATATAGAAATCTCAACCAGCATCGAATCTACGGTTTTCAATATTAATAATACATTCCCTTTTGATCGTAAAGCAAAGTTTACAGATTTATTAAGGAATTTATAACTTACGCACACGAGGGAACGCGTATAATTCGAAGTTATCGAAGCGAAGCGTGGATTCAAAGTGGAAAGAAAAGGTTCCGGTAATTCCAGGGTTAATGTTATCGAACGCTCGTCTCGCAAACACGATTACGTACGAAACACAGAAGTAGGTTCAACACGGGGCCGGCTTGTTCGACGGATTAATCAATCCCGTATGAAAGAAAAACACGCCGGTTGAAGACTAAATATTTGCGGACCGACTGCTTTTACAGAGAGCGGGCCCAGGCTTCGGAAAATTATCATTTCAGTCTCGGCGATCGTTGTTGAACCGTCAAACAAATTGCCCGGGCCCCTCTCCGCCTTCATCTGAAGGCAGATGGAACTAAACCGTTCCAAGGATTCCGGCAAATACACACGGGGCCGGCCGAGTGCCTGAAAAGTGGAACTCCAATCTTCTTCGATGAATATTCACGGCGGAAGAGGATGAGAGGCGATTCGCGAGTGTTCGGGCTCGCGTCTCGCGGATACGCGAGTAAACAATATTAAACTCCTAAATGTTCTGTCATTTCTTTTTTGGATAATATTTAGAGATACCGTTGAATACAAGCTTAGAGAAGAAGGTGGATGATTATATTATTAAAGTTAACAACGTTTCAACTGAAAATTATGATAATTTGGACAAATGTATTTATACATCCTTTAACCGTAGTATTACTCATTGCAGGGGAAGCTCATTTTTATAAAAAAGAGACTTTATCGTATACGGTTTAATTTTGAAAGAAGTTAGCACCAGGTATTTCCTACGATAAATGGTATTAATAAATTATTATAGGAAGTTTCGAAATGTTTACGTTTCGGAGTTATATGGTGACAGAATATTTGAATACTATAGAAGTGTATAATATAATTGGATTAGTATTTATAGTATCGGTATTTTTAACATTTATAGAAAAATGAGAACTGTATGTATGAATGGGTACAATTTAATCTATAGCGGAAGATGTGTTATATTGAAATTTTGGCTATTGGACGGTAAAAGGTTTAAAATTCGTCTGTATAAAACTGTGCGTTCGACCGAGCCGTTCAACCGGTTCGTATTAATTATCCTTCGACGATTAATCAAACGACGAGGAGGAGGAGGAGGGCATTACTGTTCGCGGTGTCGCCATCGACGAGATTTACAATATTTACGCGGCTCTTCGGCGGCGAGGAGGCGGCCCGTCGACGCGCATCAATTTCACGCGCCGAGCCAGGGGGAAAATGGCGACGCGTAAATCGGCGCGGCCGCGTTAATTTCCGCGTAACGCGGCTCGATAAAACGCCGAACGAAACGCTGGACCACCGTGGAAGCGAACGAAAGCAGAATCGATCTCTGACGGTGCCGTTTGTTCCCGGTGATTCTGAATTGAAATCAATGATCCATCTTTTTTCCATTACTTCCCGTTTGGTAGCAGCGCGCTCGCAATTTAGTGCCTGCGGAAGTCTAATAGTTGTAATATGGTTGTTTAAAAGGTATTCCTTTTTCGATTTCCACAGGTTGCCAAGTTCTAAAATATTAAAAGTTCTAAAGTTGAAGAATACCAAGTCCCAATGTTCCAAAGTTTTAAAATTTCAATGTACCAACGTTTCAATGTTCCAAAGTTCCAAAGTTCCAAAGTTCCAAAGTTCCAAAGTTCCAAAGTTCCAAAGTTCCAAAGTTCCAAAGTTCCAAAGTTCCAAAGTTCTAAAGTTCCAAAGTTCCAAAGTTCCAAACTTCCAAACTTCCAATGTTCCAAAGTTCCAAACTTCCAAACTTCCAATGTTCCAAACTCCACATTTAAAGTTAAATCTCGAACACAATCAGGGTTCGCGTTGAATTTTTAAAACGCTATTAACCAACACCTAGTTAATTAAATGATACCACAGAGAACAGAAGAGAACCCTCCTCAACTGATTAAAGACATCAATCAGATCCAAAGTAAACTGAAAACCTCATCAAACCCTGTTACCAATTCCCAAGTACCTATCTAATAAAGCAATTTCCGCTAAACAGTCTATCCATTACACATCAATCCTCATTCCCCAACGCATACATTATTCCATTTTCTTAAATACAGTGGAATCTCTCGCCGAACCGTTCGGAAATAACTCGAATCGAAGTGGACAACGCGAATAAAGAGAGGAAGACGTTGAACTCGTGAAAGGTATCGTCACTATCGACGCCGGAGACAGGAGACGGCCGCGTTAAAGTGAAAATTAACATTTTTCGGATGATTTATTTCGCGCGGAGACTTTCTATCGAGGCAAAAGCGCATTCAACTCGGGCAACCAGTGGCTCTCTCCCGCGAAGGGTATTCCCAGAGCTGTCGCCGTCTAGTAATGGATTTCGAATTCACTGCGGGCTGCTCTCTCTCTCTCTCTCTCTCTCTCTCTCTCTCCCTCTCTCCTTCAGTCCCTCTCTCTCCCTCTCTCTCTCCATCTCTCTCTCCACGTTCTCTCTGTCCATTTTTCACCAGCCGAGTTCGTTAATTCGATAATAAATCCATTAATTACCAGTCTTCCTATTTAACGTCCATCCTGCCCGCTCGGCCCACCTCCGCCCGCCTACCCTGGTAATACCCCTAAGGCTGCAGAAACACTAATCTTCCATTAAGTAAACATTTATTCATCCCGACCAATCCACCCTTTCACTTCTCTCTCTGTCTCTCATTCTCTCTCTCTCTCTTTCTGTCTCTCGTAATGAGAGTTCACCGATCCTAGGAAATCGGCATCGATCTCGCCGATAACGGGTACTGCAATCGTAAAAAAATCTGAATGCCATAATTAAATGGAGGATACGGTTCTTGAGGTGTTTATAATAATAATTTGGTAGACTGGCCATTGATATTATGAAAATTTATATTTTCATATAATATCATTTTCAGTTTCTTTATTATCGTTATTAATTTTATTTCTGCAACGATCCCTAGTTTGCTGAATGTCACAAGAAATTTTAAGTTTTTCCGATAATTTGATATTACAATAAAAAAGGACAAAATACTTGAAAAACCGTTCGTTTGAAGACACGTTCCATCGAAGGTTAACGATTTACTTAATTAATACGTGGCGTTTCACATTGATTAAGACAGCGGTGTGCCGCGCATTTTCACGTAATCTCCCCGTTGTGTTCTTCATCGTAACGCCGCCCATTCAACACCTCTTTGTTTTTATTGCAAGGGGAGATTCCGCAGTTGAAGTACAACGGAGAAGAATTAAGAAACAGAGAAGAAAGAAAAAAACGGAAACACTCGATAAATTACCTTGTGTTTGTCGACCGACACGGCTCTCAAGTGGCGGTCGAAGAGGAGCTTGTCAGGTTCGATGTTGATGGGGCTCTGTCTCCTTCCTTTGTTGCACAGAGACCACTGGGGATTTATCAGTCCCCAATATGAAGTACCTGGAAACGAATTGAAAACGGACACGTTAACATTTCTCTCTGGACTGATCCCAAATGTGAATCGTTCAATTGTATTCTAACGGGATTACCATCTCAGCTTACCATCTCATTCAAACTTTATAAACTTCTGTTGGTTCTATAACCCTAATAAAAAACCTAATAAAATGAATGGAAGAAACATTGCAATTCATCGGGTGTATCGAACACCTATGTATCTCGTATATTTTCTACGATATGAGAAACATTTGAAACTAAATGTGACTAGCTTTAAAAATGAATAGCTAAACAATGTCTGAGAATGTTGCTGTTATTAATTTCTATTCATTGTGAATAGCGCCTTTAATTAATAAAAACCTGAACAGATTCTTTTACACGTAAAGTCGACTATTTCCACGCGAGAATGAAAAAATGTGAAAACTTGGAAACTTGAATATTTTGAAAAACAGTGTTAACCCTTTGTAGTCGAACGTCGTGCCAATGACGACTTCGAGGTTTTATGTCTAAAATCGAAAGCTGCGAATGAATAATTTAATTATTCAAACAATAAGAGATTGATACGTAGTTTTTTTCTGATATTTAAGATTTCGAGACATAGTTAAATTTTGTATGGAACGAGCTATTAAAGCTTCGAAAAATTCTCGTCCGCAAAGGGTTAAATAACAAAACATTGGAGTACAATATTACCCCGAGACCAGCGGAAACCGTTAAAGTGACGTTCACCTATGATTCCTAACGGTACGATTTCGAAATGCATGGTCGGCGGTAAGAAAGGGAATAAAAAGTCGCGGGTAACATTAACCCAGTACAGAGTACCGAAAACGCTGAGCAAGTAGAAGATCGCGGCCCAGGTTTCGTCGACATATAAATTCCACGGGAAGAAAGGCTCGGCCCGCTCGGCCGTGGCGTTCCTCGGTATCGATTCCATGCGGCCAAGCCGCGAAGAAAGTTAAATTTCTCAGAGGGACGCCGGAAAACGCGAGCGGAACTAGATTGGCGGAGGGGCGGCAGCGGTCCCCGTCGCCGGTGAAACGAGTTCGAAACCCCTTTTACCGAATAAAAGTTGACGTGAGCCAAGGTTGCCGGGTTGAATGGACGGCGGTGTAGAAGAACGGGGGGCGGAGGGGCTAGAAGCGGCAAGACGGCGCGGCGGCCAGCCGGAAAAGTTGAAATTATAGAAATTTCAAATTTCCAAACGGCTGACAGACGACAAGACGATTCGTCGGAGGACGGTGGTCCGAGGGGAATAGTCTTGCTCGCGGTTTACTCGCGAACTTCGCCGACTTTGCTTGGGAAATTCGGGCCAGGACACCGATAGCGGGCAAATTGTTTTGTTTCTTTACTTTTTGTGGGAGAAGAAGCAGAGACGGAGATTTTTAAGTGCGTTTTCGCGAGTTTCGGAGGGTGAATGTTGTTAAAATTTTGTTTTGTTGTGTGTTACTTCTTCTGTATGTTTGTAGTGGGTAAATTAGATGTTGAAGCTTGTCTGAAATGAGAAATTTCTTTAATAGAATTGAATTGTTTTCTATGATACAATTATTGACACAAGTTACTCACCGAAATGTGATAAATGTATTTTAAACATTCACTACTGAATGATTATATCTACTAATTATTCACTACTGAATAATTAGTAGCTATAAGATTTTGTACTGAATAATTCATTTAGATGTTCTATCGAATAATGAGAATAATTACATTTCCATAAAATTCAACATCTATTTTCAAAAATATAAGTTATTAAATACCTAAAATCTTAAGTACCCTGCGCCATCTTGGTCAATCTAAATGGCGGGAACATTCGCCGAATTCAAATTACTGAACCTCCTTATTAAGATAGGGGATCACTGATCGGCGATCACGTGTTACTTTCCTCGCCCGATTGCTAGACGCTTCGCGGAATACCGCGGATCGTTTCGGATGAAGACGGTGGTGTGTATTACGGAATACTTCGGCGGAAAACCGCAACGTGCATGGTTCGTTCGTACGGTCGTCCCTTTGTGTACAACGTCGCGTGCCGTCACGGTGGCAAATTTCCGTGCTGACGTGCCTGCCGCGTCGGTTATACGAGTTGTTTATACGAGCAATAATTTATTACTTACTCCCACGACGCGAAGGATCGTTAATATCATGGACGTCAGTTGGGGAAGATGGAGAACGCGACGGAATTGTATTGCGTCCATGCGAAAGGATGCTACCATAGACGCATCAGAAAGTATTCTAATAATTCCCTTCGGAATGCGTCGCCCTATATTCGTCAACTTACGGGACACCAGATATACATTCATCTGAAGCTATCGCCTCGCTCAACGCGAGGCCCGGAAAATTCTGCTTCCTCGGAATAATGAAAGTCAAAATGTCTTAGCAGCATTTCAATACTTTAATTCATCGAACGAAGAACTATATTGCCTTTAAGTTCGTGGATTTTAGTAATTTTCAAAGTTAAAATGTAATATCAAATTTTTATTCCATCGTGGCATTAAACATTTTTGTGATTTTCTTCGTGAAATTGTGAGATCTGGTTTAAAGGTTTTTAAAAGAGTGAATCACCTAACTCTGCTATCCAAAGATATTAGTAAACTAATCGTCGTACGGGAAAGTGTCCCACAAGTTATGAATATCACAGAAAAATACAGATACGTAAAATCGATAGAAACAGTGATATGGGGACAAATTTTCAATTACAAGGTACTCTGAAAATCAGGCCCATTTACCAACAAAATTGATGGGATCTGTCAAGTCCAAAAATCACGAGCCCACAGCCCGCAGGTTCCCGGCCGGAAGAATTAGTCAATAAAATCGATCCGGTGGAAACGTTAATAACCCCTCGGACCCCGGGGTTCATTAATTTCCCTCTTCCCCGGTGTTAACAGCCGCTATCTGCCCGGTAATGCACAGCAACGCGTTCATCGGATCGTTCGTTATCTTCATGAAAATTTACGAGGCCGCAAGGTGGAACTCCAACGAATTAAAAACGAATAAAATAAAAAATACAAAGACAAACGAAAAAAAGAAGAAAAATGAGAAACATATTTCGCGCGGCTGCGGCAACGCGGTATTTTTCCCGGTTCAAAGGAAACGAGGGAAAGCGCGGCGAACGTTTACAAAGGAAGCGTTCCGACAGAGTGTCACGGGGACGGCGAGATTCGCACAGGTATGAATGGGGTTAATTGCGTCGATATTGTGACAATAAAGAGACGGGGCGCCCGTGCGTGCGGGCCCCACACGCGACATGCATGTGCGAAGAATGCGGGACAGCATTGACCACGTACGCACGCTTATCGGCCGCTGTAATTTTTAATTATACTCGCGTGCCGGCTTGTTGTTACGTTGCGGAACAACGATGATCTCCATCTCGTTGACACGTAAAACAGTCGATCTGTCGGATGTTGTACATGCGGCCACTGGAAAACGATGTTACCTTCGGCGGCGTTAATATCAAAGTGTTAAGTGGATCTCGATGATTTGTCTAGGGGTGGGTGCCTTGTGAAAGCGATTAATGAAGGGATTAAAAGTATTTGGATGACTAAATAATTTTGCTTATTGAAATACGGATTTTAAAAAATAAATTTTTGTAAATATTGTTGGATAGACTTTTTAGTTTCGAAGTAGAAATTGATGTTACAATTTTCGAATTATTTATCGTTGTTTTAATTGTGAGGACGATTAAAGATAAAAATCAGGGTAGGTTGTTAACGTAAAAGTTAGTTATTTACATATGATTTATCATTTTGATACTTATAAAAATATTATAAAAATATTGATGAGATAATTTATTTATTATTCAAAGAACTGAATATTGTAGCTTCATCAAGCAGTTTCGTTACCTGTTCAGTACAGCCGGGTTGCGGATGCTGAAAGGTAACGCGAGAAATGTTAATTCTTTTGTGTTCCAAAGCTGCGACTTCAACACGAGCAGAATGTAAAGTTGTTATTAAGCGGTAACAGTGCACCGTGTTCACCATTTCCGCAATGTACATATTTATACGGGGGTAAATAACTAGGCGAAACGAACTGCACTGCATGATAGAGCAGCAAAGTAATCTGCAATAGTAATGTTGACTCTACAGGCTAGTTTGGACTTCCAAAACTCATCGTGTTTTGAATTAATTTCAGCATACGCGCAGTATTTTCTGAGGGGAACGTTTTCGAAAGACTGTTACTGTTAGCAATCAAAATCTATGGTGACACAGCGCTGAATAATCCGTTCTGTTTCAAAGTACATGCTTCGTGCAGTTTGAACTCGAAGTGTTTCCCGCGCTTTCGCCGTAAAAATGGCGTCTACAGAGCAGCGGTAAGTATCATTGGAGTAACATGGATTTTTCGTTATTTTTAAACGAACATTATTGAATTTTATACAGAATAATCAATGGTCATGGCATAATTTAATGAATATTGTTCCATCGAATGCACATTTCATTAAATTATTAAATATTATAACGTAGGGAAAGAAGTCATGAAACGTTTCGCAGTCGAAAGGCGGGTTTCAAAATGGTTTCCACGTTAATGAAAAATTCCCGGCAACACATTGCGTATTTGGTAAATTTGCAATTCAATTATATGAGTTTTACTTTTCCGGAAACGGGCTAACGCGTTCTACTTCCGCGTGCATATAATGACACTTGTTATTCGTTGCTTTGTTTTAATTCTATATCTCTGATACGTCGCATCGATGCATAATATTCAAGCGTTACTCCGAAAAATTTACATTTCGATTCACGATCGTACAGGGACCGTCTAATTTTTAATTTGTGAAATTAACATTTCACAATGTATACGAGTTACAAATTCAGAATATCCTTATTCCCAAGGGACTATACTTCCGATTCAATTTGAATGAAAAATATTATATCTTAAGTTTCACATTATCGAACATATAATCCTATAAAACAAAATTAAAAATTAATATACAAAAAAGTTACAAAATTTCAACCTAATTTCATCATTTATAAGAATATCTCCGAAATTTTCGAGCAATACATAATTAAAAAACAGAAAATTTC